ACAACCTGACGGATTTGGCTCATGGGCCATAGTTTGCCAATCCCTTTTCTAGACCATATTAATGGGATGGTTAGTTAACCTCTAGAAAAAGAAGAGCTAATCACAAAGAGGTAGGCTGACTTCATCAGTGCCTAGCATTAGTGCCAGACACTTAATAAATGCTTATTCAATTGCTAAATCAAATTCACCGAGATTGAGTCATGCCAGATTAACCACATTTCCTTTTTTTGACAGGGCTCCTAGATTGGTGAACCAGGGGAATGCCTTAGACATAATATACTTATATTTCAGCAAAGCATTTAACTGTGTCTCTCATTTTCTTCTTGTGGACAAGATGGAGAAATGTAAGCTTCATGACCAGTTGAGTAGCAGAAAGCAAATGGTAGCCATTAATGGTTCTATATCAACTTAATGAGCTTAGAGTACACTAAAATCTCCAGGTGGACTACTTTCTAACCAAGCTTATTCTGCATCAGTATTGCAACCCAAAAAACCTAATTTATAATTGTCTAAAACGAAGACAGTGATATTCCTACCATAAATGTCAGAGGACCTTGTATTTTATCCTAGAGGTAATAAGGAGACATAGGAGTTTCTTAATCAGGGGAGTGCTTTAACAATATCAGTTTAGTGGCTATGTGAATGACAGAATGGAAAGGAGAGAGATTAGAGGCTGGGATACCAGTTAGGATGCTAATGCAATGGTCTAAGCAAGTGATGAAGAGGGACTGAAATAAGGTTGTGGTTATGTGAGTGAAGAACAGTTTGAAAGATGGTGAGGTAGAATCAACAACATTTGCAACTAATTAGATATAGAAGATGAGGGAGAGTGAGGAATTGATGACTCAGATTATGAACCTGGGTGACAACAGAAAAAGAAAAATTAGGATGAGAAGGGCATTAGGGACTGGAGTAAGATAATGCCTTCTCTTTTGGCCATATTGAATTTAAAGAACCTATGAGACATTCAGAAAGACATGTCCAACAGGCAGAATTAAGTGATGTGAGATTAGAGATTGGGATAAAGATGAGGGCCACATATGTAGATCTGAGAAATATCTAAGCAGAACTATTCATTGAACCCAAAGGAGATAATGAAATAACTGAGAGAGAAAATATATGTAGAGAAGAAGAAAGGCCAGAACAGAGACTTTATGTGTCAGGATGTGGGTGATGCCCCAACAAAGATGCCTGAAGAACAGTCAGTCAGTTAGGAAAAGAACTAGGAGACAGTAGTGCCACAAAAACACCAGGGAAAAGAGAATATGGAGGAGAGGGCAGTCACAAATCTCAGAAGTCAAAGGGGTCAAGAAGTTGAGAAAAGCCATTATATTAGGATTCAAGACATCATTGGTAACTTTGAAAAGAGAAATTTCAGTTGAGTAATGGATTGGAAGACAAACTGCCAGGGGATGAGGAGTGAATGGGAGGTGAGAAGTAAACACAATGGATGTAAATGATTTTTTTCTGGAAGTTTGACTGTAAAAGGAAGAAACAATGAAAGAACATAATTTGAAGGGATGGCAGGGTCAATTACTCCCGTAGTACACCTAACATTCCACCTATATACCTTTTTACTGACCATGATCCATGCCTGTAATGCACTCATTCTTCACTTTGGCCTCATCAAAATTAATATCTCTCTCTGTCTCCCTGTGTCTCCCTGTGTCTCCCTGTGTCTCTCTGTCTCTCTCTGTCTCTCTCGTCTCTCTCTATCTCTGTCTCACTCTCCCTCTGTCTGTCTCTCTCTCTCTGCCCCAAGATGTGGCTCAAGTACCAGATTTTACACAAGCTTTTCCTGATGCCCCCAACTTCTAATGTCCTCCCTCTCAAACTACCTTCCATTTTAGCTGCATTATATTTATTTATGCTTATTCTTTTTGTATTCTAAATATATTTATGTATGTACCTGTCTCTTCCATTAAAATGCAAGCCATTTGAAGGTAGGATTTATTTCATTCTTTGGATCTAAAGCAACCTTCCACAGTACTGGTACATAATATGTCTTTAATAAATGCTTACTGATTAATTTATTGGGGAGACCTAATCATGTTTGAAGGCAGCAGAGAAGTAGTCAGTGTTTAAAGAAAGAGGGGAGTTGGGAGGTGAGGATAATTCTTTGACCAGGACAAATTTCTGGAGGATACAAGAGGGGATGGGATCAAAGGCAAAAGTAAGGAGATCGACCTCTTCCTTTGAGGTTGGAGCAAAGGAGGAAAGAATGGAGAGTGATATTGAGATTAGTTAAGCATTTATTAAGTGCCTACTATGTTCCAGCCACTCTTCTAGGTGCCAGGTATACAAATACCAAAAAAAAAAAAAGTTCCTGTCCTCAAGAAACTTACATTCTAACAGGGTGATACAACACATTTTACAAATTGCTGTCCAAGGAAGGGGGTTTTAATCTAGGGCCAGGGGTGGGGAACCTGTGGCCTTGAGGCCACATGTGGCCTTCTAGTCCTCACCAACCTAGGAGCCCTGTCAAAAAAAGGAAATGTGGTTAATCTGGCATGACTCAGCCCTTTGACTGAATCCAAAGTTCACCAAAGATTCCCTTAATGAAAAGATTTGTTCTATAAAACTTGGACTCAGTCAAAAGGCTGTACCCAAGGACCTAGAAGGACACATGTGACCTTGAGGCCGCAGGTTCCCCATCCCTGAATTCTAGGCAGTCCTAGGGATTATTAGGGGAGCCGTTGGACTATCATGCCCTTTTAGGAGCAGTAGTGGCATTGATTTGATTATTGCACCATGAGCAAGAAGTGGAAGATGCTTTCTTATGTTACTAGTATGTTAGTAGTGGCATGAGATGGCAAGTGTCTTGGTGGCGGACTGGGTAGGAGAAGAGAGACTAGTAGGGATGGCCCCCTCTACCCTCCTTCCTACGCCCCAAGCAAAGTGTGAGGCAAAGTCCTCTTCTGGGTGGGGAAGAGATGGGCTGGTTGTGTGGGCAGTTTGAGGAGAGTAAAGGTTTGGAATAAGAGATGTAGGCAGTGCCACAGGGAGCCAATCAGAGAACAGGAGAAGGATGTGAGGACCCAGTCGGCACATTTATTTGACTTCCTAACACAGCATTCAGCTGACCACAAAGAGAAGCAGCAAAGATGGGTGATAGAGGTATGCCCGTGTCCACATCAAGTAGGGCTGGTTATCTGTGAAGCAGAGATTAGAAAGAGAGGAGAGGGAAGTTAAGAGCAGGGCTGATGGGCTAGGAAAACAGAGAGGGATGGAGTGATTAGAGATTACAGTGAGGATAAAGACCAGGGTTGGGAGTGGTAAGGCAAGAAAAAGAAGAATAAGAGGGTACAGTCTGAGAGGAATTTCAGAATTCTGGATCATAGAGGCTGAGCAGTTATGGGAGATAATATCAAGGATGTGACCATCCCTCCTTGTGGTTGAGGGGAGATCAAAGGTACAGATCATCAGAGCTGAAGAGGCTGATGCACCAGGGGGCTGTTTGATTTATATTGAGACCATTAGGAATGAGATCAGAACTTGGATTAAGAGAAAGATTGGGAGTCAAGCGCTTAACTCTTTGAGAAAAGAGACTGACCTGGAAGCCACTGGGTAAGAACAAATGAGCTTAGAGGTTGAGGCATCCCTCAGACAGGAAGCATGGGCTTTGAAAAAAACTGATACAGAAGAGATAGGCACATGCCAATCAGGCTGAAGAACCTCATCGGACCCTAGGCCCAGATGCTACTGCCTCATAAGAGGAGAAAAGCAGGGTTCCCTGAAAAATGGAGGTGTTTCAGGCCAAGACAATGATTAGGAATGGGGAAAGTCTTCCCCCCTCCACCTTGAGTTAAGTTAGCATCAGGAATTTCTGCTCAATAAAGTGCATCTTTATACTTTCAATTCTCTCATAGAGAGCAAGTCTGGGACCCTGGCACTCAGCCTTCAAGAGGAGAAAATCCTTTCTCTTCACTCCCTCCACCCCTATGGGGACCATGAAAAAGAAACCTCAGGTCTTCTATAAGACATGGTGCTAGTTTGTCACACCAACTTATAGCAAATGGCAGCCATGGGAACAAAACAATTTAATTCCTTTTTACTCTGGAAGAGGCATTAGTTATTTAGTTTTTGATACTTATAACACTATCCTGGCTAAAATAATTGATTTAAGGCATTGAACCTTTATCCTGTGCACTAATTCTCTGTTTTTTTTTTATTCTGATAGATAAAAACCTCTTGTCATTGTGATCCAGACAAAGCTATTAACAAAGAAACTCAAATCCATACCATGGACCTAATTTTTTTTTTATACCTTTCCCCTTTGATCTAAGTATCTCTGAATTTAATTATGAGGTCTGAATTGATGCCCTGCCAATGTATCTTTTGCTTTACCTCCTTTCTGTGGCCTAAAGAAAAGAATGAGGTTTTTTGAAAGCAGGCTCATTTTTAGTTAGTTCCATGAAAGGTGTCACCTACTATTTCTTGTTGCTCTTTCGGGGTTTTTTATTCTTTGTCTACTGAACTAACACAATTACCACCTCTGCATCCTGCAAATCTATCTCTTGGATAGGTTTCCAACAAATATGATTTTCAAAAGTGCTAGACATAAGGGTGAATCTAAAGTCATTTGATGAGTTTTCTTTTACATCTTCTTGTTTGCTTCCTTCCCTGAGAGATTTTTGATTTTTACCAGGATCATTCTTATGAGCTTAAAGGTATAAAGCATCATTACATTCTGACTGGTTTCTTCTGCCACAATAAATGTTGTAACCTTGAATGAAGCAGTTACTGCTAATGTCACAGTAAGCAAATAGAAGTCAGTACTGAACTAATCTTGTCTGCTGAATAGAAGCTTCTCTAGTCTTCACGTGTAATGTTCTAATCATCGGCGCAAAACATCCAATTAATTTGCTTTCCCTGCATGTTTTTACTGGCCAAGATGCATAGGGGAGTAGCGTGCTCAGTCATAATCATGCTCCACAAAGACTGGAAATGTTCCCTTTGAGCTTCCAATCATTAGGCCAGCTGAAGTGAAGACAAGCCCATTGACAAGTGAGAATGGCAATAATTTATTTTCTATTGATGGGTTGTGACAAATCATGTCGGAGCAGTGGCTGCATACTGTGGGGCTCCAGGAAGGAAGACTGTGATGGGCAGAGATGAAACCCTTCACAGCTCATTTAGTCCAAATGTAGCCACCTGGGTGGTGAATCAGTTCAACATAGCAGCCCAGGCATTCCGGCACAAAATGAGATCGCTACCAGGCAGGCCATATAGGGGTTCCTACAAGGCATTAATCAACAGGGTTGAGCTGTCAAAACGCAGAGTTCAAAATTAAGAAACACCAAAAAGATTAAAAATGCAGTGATGTTGTCAAAAATTCGAGGATGTAATTATGACCGCAAAAGTCTGGGCAGAGTAAAATGCTTAGAAGGAAAATGAATTATAAACTGGCAGAGTAAAGCATCACCCCTGCTGAAAATTTTCCTAAGATTTCTACAGATGTTAATTAGTAAAAGCAGCATGAAGATTTATGTAAGCATGGGCACACCCCGTTCAACTTGCCACTGACAGGTCAAATTAAATATATGTGCTTCTTACCACTGAGCAGCATAGTTCATCTCTTATTTAAATTTCTTTTTACTCAGGCCCACTGATGTGCTTAGAATTTGACATCTCATGCTGTTTCAGAATACAGACTGTTCCAACTAGGCAGAATATTATAGTCATGCACAACTTATTTTTTGAATATTATGTTTTGATACAAGAAAGATTTTTAGAATACCTTGAACAGAATATTTCAGTTGAGGGATGTGTGTGTGTAAATGCTTTAATGACAGGGCTTTCTTATAAGAGCTTTACTTATTTTCCTGTCGTAAGAAATATAAGAAACCATATCCTAAGTTCACATAAACAGATTTGCAAAGAATAAAGTAATGTTTGATGACAAAAACCAGTTCAAATATGTATTTGTTGATTGACTTAATAAATGTTTCTTTAGTGTTTGATATGTTCAAGTCAATGAAATAGGTAGGTAGAGTTACATCATCTGTAAGCAATGCTAGATTTAGATTTAAATTCATGTTCAGTTGTCTTTTAGCCTTGTGACTAAAGGGACATGAGCTCTGTTTTCTTCTGTATGGTCATAGGATATCTATTTACTTTAAGTTTTCTAGAGTTGACTAATACTATTTACCTTGAAAAGGTGTCTGCTAATGTTTTGAGCCCTTCAGATAGCAAAGAAAGTAGAAAATATTTTCATCTTTAAAAATAAATTATCTTGAAGTAAATTCTACAAACTACTTCTGTATGCAAATAGTTCAGATCTTCATGGTAAAATCACAAAAACTGTGACACTGAAGCATACTATAGTCTAGCATGTGGCCACCAGTTTTCCATTATGACATTCATTTAAATTGCAGTTTTAATTATTTATAAGATTATTGGCCTTAAGATGTATACTGTATCTTTGTATCTCATGACCTAAAGGTATGGAGTCAGCCTTATCCAAGGGGTGGGAAGCATTTCCCCTGTAGACCCTTCTGTGTGCAAGGTAGCTAATAGTTTAAAGCAAAAGAGAACCTCCAGCAGGCTGGGCATTCTTCAAAATAGTATGGCTCCTCGGGCTTACTTTCTTCCAAAAACCCTTTCCTTTTGCCTGAATGACTTTAATGAGTCATATAGATATTAGGAAGACCATTGTGTTTCTTTAATGTGTTTGCTTCTGAATTGCTTAGAGAAGCCTATGGTGGCCATGAGAAGGCTATAATACATTAACAACTATGAAATGAGCAACAAAAGTGATGTAAATGATATCATTGAAGAGATATATGATCAGAAAATAGTATGGGTCAGTCATACAATGAAAACAAGGTGTGTTAAGTCAGCTCTGGCTCAGGTCCTCAAGTTTAAAACTAAAATAAAATATGATACTCTTAGTTTTACTTACCCATAGAAGTAAAGGCTGTTCAACAAGGATACTACATTGATCTAGTCTGGCAAAGCTTCCCTGCCTCTGTATTGCATGTGATGGATGATCTGGTAGTCAGAAGCCTGAAGAAGAGATTCCTGACTCCTCATGGACTGGCTTTTGTCCTTAGGCTACCAAGAAGCCATGTCAACAGCCTTAAACACCTAAGCCAACTATTTTGAGGATGGTCTCAATACTTTTAAAGGAAAAACTAGCCTTGTCTGTATGTCAGATATTGTTCCTACCCTGTACCTTGGTTCATGGTATGCACCCCATACCTTGGTGGCAAGATCCTAATGGTCTTTAGAACAGTGGTGTCAAACTCAAATAGAAAACCCTTGTTGCAGCAAATTGGCTTAGAAAACCACAAATTAACATTATCTATGTAGTAGTAGATTTTTCTTTATATTGTTAAACATTTTCCAATTACATTTTAATCTGGTTTGACAACTTTGGACCACTTACTACTTAAATGTCTTTAGAACCATTATTTGACAGCTCTAATCTCAAAAATATAAGCAGTCAGGCATAGGTACCATTAGGGGGCAGGGAACCTAAAACAGAAAGATAGCAAACAAACAAACAAAAAGCAGTGTAATGACTCCTTAAAGGAATGACAGAACGTGGAGGAGAACAAAGACCTTCAGAATTTCCAGGCTCCTCTTTCCGTCTTTGTCTTCGGAAAGGACTGAGTACAGCATCTTAATGATCTGGTCTATGTGGTAAATAATGCTAAATCTTTGAAGTTAATAGTAGATCTAATGTAATGTGGTAATGATGAGAAGTTTTTGTTGTTGTTAGGTTGTTTTTAATCATGTCTAACTCTTCATTACCTTATTTGGGTTTTCTTGGTAGAAATACTGGAGTAATTTGCCATTTCCTTCCCTGGCTTATTTTACAGATGAGAAAGCTGAGGCAAACAGGGTTAAGTGACTTGCCCAGTGGCACACAGCTAGTAAGTGTCTGAGGCCAGATTTGAACTCAGAAGAATCTTTCTGACTCCAGGCCGCAGCACTCTAGCCATTGCACCACCTAGCTGTCCCCCTGATGAGAAGAGGCACCACATAAACACAAGGGCTACAGTGTAAATGACAACGTAGGCACTACTCATCATCACGGCTCAACATCTTCTATAGTAAGGTCATGAAGAGGTCATTGAATGCAGCCTTTCCTGGTACATGGTAGTCATTATCTAGACTGCCCACCCACTCACCGTTCACCAACTCACCAGCTAGGACTTCCCTCTACCATGGAGGAGAGAGGCAGGAAATACCCGATCTTTGCTCTATTAGAAGCCTCTAGGCAGGGACTGTCTCTCTTCTTTGGGCATGGGGATGGGGAGGGTACTCCCCTGTCATTGGAAAGCAAGACCTCAGAACCTTGTTCCTCCAAGCCCTTGGGATTGTCTGTGACTGTTAGAGTTGTCTAATGACCACTGGGCACTTCATCATAGTGGGGTCCCCCTCAGTTCCATCTAGTAGGCAAAGGACTATATGCTAGTTCTGCCTTTGTCACTGCTCATGCCACTGCTCAGTGGGCTGGGCCCTATTCCACTGCCCACTCTGCTGCATTCTGCCCCTGAAGGCTAGGCCCTGCTTCCTGGGGCCAACCTGAACTTGGTATAGATGCTTCTTCTCTCCCCCGATTCTAGGACCTGTGTCAGGGGCCCCTCACTGTCCCAGAGGACAAGCAAGTTACAGTTTATAGTTACAGTGAGAGAAGAAGCTGTCTCTCCTTTTAAATTTTTTAAGCTGGTGCAGCTCCACACATACACACGCCCCATTCCTTCCCTTTCCTTGGAGCTTCATTTGGCATGTATGTCCACATTTCTAATTCTGGAAAGGCCCCTGGACTATTAGGAGGATTAAGCATTATCCTTTCAAATGCCTCCCCAAGTGCCGAACCAAAGGGTCTCAACACAGTCCACAGGGCACACTTCCCTATGTCCTCTCAAATGGAGAAAATCTCAAATTCCAATTTGGAAGGAGGGCCCAGCACAACTAGCAGGCCTGGAATTCACTGTTGACCCCAAATTTTAAGAGGATGTGAATTAAATGCACAACTGTTTGTAGCATTTTTCATCTCCAGGGCATGGTTCTTATAGAAACAGAATACATTCACATCTGTCTCTAGTTGCTGAATGCCCACACACAATTTGCTTTCTGATTCTCCCGAAGCAAGGGAAATAGATCCCTCCCAATATGCAGCCCACGGCCCCTGAAGCACTTCCACAATGGAGGGTCACCAGGGTCTTACTTTCCTCTGTGTTACCCTTTTGACCTGTCCACAAAAGCCACTCTAAGACAATCCTGGTGGCCATGTCAAATACTGTAGGTCAAACCTGACTCAGGCTCGTCCAGTTCTTTGGGTTCAAAATAGGAATGAAATGAGAAACCTGAGGGAGAAGTTCCTGGGTCAATCCCATGGACTGACTTTTTGCATTTATGCTACCAGAAATGACATCTACAGCCAGTCTTAATCCAATTGAGGACAGTCTCAGTACTTTATAAGGAAAAAAACCACCCTAGTGTCAGGTGTTTACTAGTAAATGTTTACTATCTTGGAGGTTGGGGGGGAAGAGGGGTGGTATACTTAGAACACACTTTTAAATTTAATCTGCATCATTAACATTTTCACCATCGCTTTCTCAAGGAGACAATCAACGAAACACTAAATCAAGCCTTGATGTGTAGTGTTTGCCAAATTCCCAGGTGTAACTGCTCACACTGAAAATTTAAGAATCAGCCCTGCCAGGACAATACTAGCTGGCTCCAGCATACCCCTCTATCTGGCAGGTATTGCTCTTTCAAACACACAAAGGAGAGCCCACATGCCCCACTGGTGGGCACACAATATCAAGAAACTATAAAAAGGTAACCAGAATTTTGAGTTTCCCTAAAGCTTTGAGTTTCACTAAGCTGCACAGCAGCAGATTCACACCTGTAGGATTTGTAGGACATGCAGAAGAATTCCCAGAGGGGAAAAGGACAAGGATGAGTTGTGACCTGTACTGTAGAAGGAAGTACCTACATGGATGAGCTCATGGAGCCATCGAAGTATCAAAGAAGAAACTGCTTCAATAATATTTATCTCACTAATGACTCATTGCCCTTATAGATAAGAAAGAGAGGAATGATACCTGTGGATTACAATATTTCTTCAGGGTAGTCAGGAATGTTCTGGTTACAGTTTTCAGTTTTGGGTTGGTTTTTTTTTAAGCAATTCTAGTCGTGAGACTAGCCCTTTATCTACTGCAGTGTCTTTAGTTACAAACGTTACAATTACATGATCTTACAAAACACCTACCATTGAGCTTCAGTGCCAAAGATAACTCAGGTAGACTAAAGACAAGCAGGGCTGATTGGAGAAGTTGAGAAAGAGGAAAAGCTTAGCTTTGGACAAGCCGAGAGTTTTCTCCCCTTTTTCTGACTCCTAAGCTTATCTCAGTACTGACTTGCCTAGTGCTTTTCAGGGACCATCCACTTGGTAAATGTTTCTGTAGCAGTTTAGTAATCTCGCTAGACTCTCCTTCCACTCAGTTGATTATTATAATAGATCTGGGTGAGATACTGCACTTTTATTTGAATGAAGTTCCTTGGCCACAAGTACCTGGGGAACACCTTTAGATAGAACTCAACCATAATTAGGAGGAAAGAACATTGCTGAGCCAATTCCTGAATTGGTGAGTAAGAGAAACACAATAACCCCCAGCATAACAACAAATGCAATCATTTCAAAATAAATAACAAGAAAAGATACTGTCCTTGAAATGCACACTTCACTTTAGGGGAATGCTGTGGCAATACAGGGGGAAAAATTCATTCTCCCACTGGAGGAGAAATGCTATAAAATCTGTTTTAGAAGGAAGAAAAAATTAGTTCCCTTTAATTCTCTTTCATTTTTTAATTTCCAATTCATTTTTATTAATTCCATTTTCAGAATCATTTTTTATCTTTTAGGGAGTCTGTTGGAGTGAGATGAGTAGTCCCCAAATTGTTCTGCCTAAAGGCAAGATGTTATGAAAAGTTCTTCACCTTTTGTGTATCATGGATTGCTCTGGCAGTCTTAATAAACCCTGTGAACCCATGGTCAGAATAATGCTTTTGAGTGAATCAAGCAAAATATGTAGGATTATGGAGAAATAAGAATGTCATTTGTTCCCATCCAAATTCTAAGAACTCCTGTTACAGATAACCTCAAGGAGTATAGCAAATAAGCAGTAAGAATAGAAAGAGAGAAGAGAATGGAAGGGTTCATGATGCAGATTGCAGAGACCCACCAAAATAATTTTGAACCAGATTCTCAAATGAATAAGGAATTCATGAAGCTGTCTAGATACTGGTTTTTCATGGTGATGAGTTTCTTTAGTGGCTTTCTGTACAAATACTTACCCTAGAGAGTTGAGATCTGAAGCAATACCAAGGGGGCTTATTATAATCCAGGATCCTGCTATAGAGGAAAGAGAATGTACAGTGTTATCAAGGATGATAAAGTGAACACCAAATAAAATAATTTAAAGCTACTTAGAATACTTCTGCTTCTGGTTGATCTTGTCCCCAGGATCATAGGATTTATAGCCTAATGAGACCTTAAAAATCAAGTCTGTCACCATATGGTATATTAGGGACCCGGGGCCCAGGAAGGTTAGGTGATCAACAACATGGCATTTCTAAGTATCAGAACTGGAATGTATGGTTTCACATCCTGTGCTCTTTCCCCAGTAGGCATAGTAAAATATGAAATGTTTAATGTTTTACATGAAGGACATGTGATCACACTAATGTGAGAGGTCTCCAAACCTGTGCAGATTCCAAGCCATCTGTGACTTAGTAAATAAGTCCTAGAGAATTACCTGAGGCATTCAGAGATTGTCCAGAGTCACCCAGCTAATAAGAGTCAGAAGGCAGCATTTGAACTCAGATTTCCTGACTCCAAGCCTAGTACTGTCCTTGACACCAAGTTTCCTCTACAAATTATAAAACCAAACCAAAGGAAGTTTCCATTTGGTGACTGGGTACACAGTACTGTTTAATTCAGTGGCATTCAGAAGCAATTTGATAAAACCAGAGTTGGGGGAGGGGGAGGAGGGACGGATTGAATTCTATAAAAACTGTGAGAACAAAATAAGATGGGATTCTGATCCTTGGGCAAATTGCTTTGAGTGATGAGGGCGGAGAGAGAAGAGGGTCAGTGTCTAAGATATGTCTGCTCCTGTGGTAACTTCGGTACACTGGAGTAGGGTCATAGAAATTGTGGAGGCTGAGAAATTCAGGAGTGTTCAAAAGGAGCAGAAGTTGCATTGGGAAGTAGGGGCCAGGGAGAGTAAACTGTGAATCAAGATTATTGAGCTTAATTAGGGAGGAGGCAGTGGTGACCTGGAGGTCCATCGGTGATAGCAACAAGAATCTAGACTGGGTGGAGTTCCAAAAGTGTCTATAGGGACCAAGGTATCGAAAAGAGTGATGTAATATAAAAGGGAATTAATGAAATAATAGAGATAGGTGCCTGGGGAACAGTGGAAAGGGAGAACAAAGGAGGATGGGACTGGGGAGGGCTAGGACTGAATTTCCTGCAGAAGGGGAAAATATGCCAACTTTGCTGCTTATGGCAGTGTTACAACCTTTGAAATTACAAAGGAAGTCAAAGATCTTTTCCCTACCCATGAAGAGCTTATCGTTTCACCTTGGAAGTCTCTATTTTCTTGCATTTATTAAAATAAAATTTTATCTCTGACAGTGAAACACAGCATTTTATTGAGAATAATGCAAAATACTGTATAGTTTATACAAGGTCTTCTCTCTAACCCATAGAGAATTAGCCTTCTGGGGCAGCTAGTTGGCGCCTTGGATAGAGCACCCATCCTGGAGTAGGGAGGACCTGAGTTCAAATGTGGCCACAGACATTTAGTGGCTGGGCAACTCACTTAACCCTGATTGAGAGAGAGAGAGAGAGAGAGAGAGAGAGAGAGAGAGACTTCTCATTCAAGGTACAGGAGTCATGCTATACCTACAAGTGATTTCTGGACTGCTACATTCTGGGGCACAGTTTTGATGTGGACCTGGGCTCTTAGTGAGAAAATGGAACATATAGGCTATTCATTGTTCTTTAGGAATGTGCTTTGTCTCCTGGCCATCAAATGGCCGTTTGGGTTTCTTAAGGAACACCCCCTGGCTGGAAAGCCTTCTCTTCTGCAACTGCCACTTGGTAGGAGCTCAGGAAAATGCAAATTGGAGATATTTACATATCACACCTTGGCACTATGATATCTGTCAACAATTTATTTTGACTCATAGGCTATATCCTGGATTTTGTAAGACAGCAGTCTATTAATCACGTGTCACCGACCTAAAGATTCTTTAAGCTGTGTCTATATTCAGTCAACTCAGTCAGAAATTTACTCAATTATCCACATGTTTTGTCTATAAACAACTAGTTTGATTAAATTATTGACTGAATTAACTGGATGGTTTTTTCATAATGTAGTAATAAACCTTAATGTGGTTAACTTTAAGAAATTTTCAGGATAGCAGCTGAAAATGCTAAGATTATGATATCATTTTCAAGAATGAGGAAGCTCCCAGCTTGTCATATTATTTCTCAAAGTTTATCTAAAAAGAGAGGATGATGGAAGGAATCAGCAGTTATCCAGGTTTATTACCATAATACATACAGTCAGGAGATGAGGTGCTATATTTAATATGATGGGTAATCGACAATATGTGTGCGAATCAGCAAATGTTCGTTATATTTTTATACTGTGGAGCATCTGCTAAATGGATAGCCTTGTCCTCCTTGAAGGTAACTATTTACTTTGTGTTTACTGGTAGTAGTTGAAAAGCATCTTATTTCTTAAAAGAATAAATGTTTAGCATTCCCTCTCCACCCTCTGGACATGCTAGTGCTAGGTATCTTTTGTTTAATTGTGATATTATAAATATTTGACTGATTGTCTGAATTTTTATTTAGTAAGAGCCTATTCTGCAAGATAACTATTGTTTCATCAACAGTTTGCCACATTTTGCTCATTAAGAACCTTTTAAATTCTTGCCTTGTTTAAACACCCACATTGAGGACTCTTAGCACTTTAAAAAAAATGCTCAGTGCAGTTCGCATTTGCAAGTTTGAGTTTTGCATTTTTTTGTCCTCCAAGGTAAAATGACAGGGTGAGCACATTGCATAAAAACTAGGCTCATCACTCTTTCTCACTGCCTACCAACCTGTTTGTGCTTAGCCAAGCATTTATTTATTAGTTCTTAATGGCGAGGGCTACAAGGTTACTACACCTGAGAGAAAAATCTGTAAGACAGGCTTTCTAATTAATCACTGGGAGGGTTCAGGAAGGTCTGCCTGTTTCTGTAAACTGAAGCATTTATGAACTCAATTTCAAGTATGGATCACCGAAATGGCATGTAATGTTTTGTTTCTGTGAGTTGCAGTAATTTTGTTGGTAATTAGGAACTTTCTTGTGTGTTTGGGTATGAGAACGTTCTTGCTCCTAGATGAGAATTCATACAGATAATTACTAGATCTGACTTCACTGGTACAGAGAACTCCCAGATGAGGTAACTCCATTTACCAATGCAAGTTGTCACTTTCTCTGCAATTTGTGGTCTCAGAAAAGTTGCCCAGAGCACTAAAATGGCCAGTATATGTCAGAGGTGGAATCTGAACCCAGAACCTATGGACTTAGAAGATGATTTTCTAGGCCAACTAAACCCTCTAAACACTAGAACACAGTGCTGCCCAGGCTAATATTCAGCTAAGACAGTAAATATATGAAGTAGGATGATAGGAATTCTGAAATCAAAATCAGTGACTTCAACAAGAAACTCCAGAGTTAACAAAAACATTACATGCCATTTCAGTGATCACACTTGAAATTGAGCTCATAAAGATTACAGGTCACATATGCCATTATTCCATAATCAAAGAAGCCTAGGTTAGAAAGAAATTATCATGCTGATTGTCAGTGAGGCTGGCCAGCAGAGTCAGCAACAGCAGAAGACTCTGCTGCCAGAGGCTTTTATCTTAAGGTCGAATAACAGGGTGAAATGAGAGGTTGGTCACACATAGGTCATTTCATCCACAGCCACATCTGAAAGCTATAATGTTGCTGGAAGCATCAACTTCAGGTACAAAGGGCCACTAAGTATTTTGTTGTGCATCCATACCAGGCACTGCCATATCTTATAAGTGCCATAGACTTATTTATCAGAGGAATAGGGTTCCCCACTGATTAAGAATTCATATTTTTTAAAACCACTTTGATAGGATAAATAGAACAACTTAATTGACAATCAACATTCTTGAGCAAAAGGAGACAGAAATCATGCCCTGGAAGGAGTAGAGGCAAGTCTATTGGGCCCAGGGAGACAATACCTATATTAAATTGCACCTATTTTGTGTAAACTATACTGGTTTCCCTTTAAAGGGTAGGAAGACTATTTTGAAGGTTATCATGATTTTGGCCTCCTTACCACTGGAGGCATAAAAGGTTCAATGTAAGGGGAACCAGTGTGTCATTGATGTTAGAGATTTTAACAGATTTCTAATGGCCAATGTGAAGTGACCAGTGGCAGGGGTGAATGCAGAGACAAAAGGGAGTAACCTTGTATGAACCACTATCTTTTTTAACCCTGGGAAGTTTTAATCCTTTATTATTAGTAGATGGTTGGATGGATGGATGGATGGATTATTTATTTATTTATTAAGTGCTTATTATAGATTTTTTTTTATTAGATGCTTACTTTATATCAAACACCGTGCCAAGTGTTGGGGCTACAAATTCAAGAGAACAAGATAGTCCCTACTCTCTGGGAGCTTATATTCTAACAATATTATATTACATTGTATTATATTATATAATTTATATTATAATTATTATATTATAATAAAACCCTATGTAGAGTTGGGAAAGGGAGCTAGAGAGAGGCAGAGGGAGGTATGCAAGGTTAGTGAGGAGGTCAATCAGTCTGGAGAGTGAGTTGAGCTGGGAATGAAGCAAAAACTGTCTGGGGCTCCACAAGATATAGTGATGGGCCCAGGGACTCACCAGTTAGGAGAGCAGGCCCCAGGGTGGGATAACCCCTAGGTGAGTATGGCTAGTGAGATGACCAGAGAGAGAACTAAACTGGGAAAGAATGTAAAGTCATTTTTTATTGCTTTTTGATCCAGAAAAGTGTCTTTGCATTCCAACCCTAAGCCTGAATCATTGGACTGACCTGGATTTGACTTGGTCCAGAATATTGCTCCGGAGAGCTCCTGCTATGGTAGTTCCTGGCCCAATTAAATGCCCTCCATAAGCTGCTTCCACCTTACCTCCCCAGCACCTTCTCCTTCTGTTAGGTTGATGTCCTCATTGTCCACTCCTAAAAAGCATCCTCATTTCTTCCTTTGTTTATGCTGTGTGCCTTTCCTTCTTTCCACTCTTCCATATCCTTCCCATCACT